TCTTTATTATACAATAGTCATACTTGTAACTTGTTGAGTTATTCCGAAGTGGAATTACTTTATATTTCTACCTGGTTACAGGAAATATTACTTCATTACAAATACCTTTTATTTATTTCTGCCAACAAAGTTGTGCTCGGTTATTCATTTTGCATTATGAATTATTGTTGTAACAATATCTTTATATTAAGTTCTCTTAACAAGTTTACTCTTTATTATACAATAGTCATACTTGTAACTTGTTGAGTTATTCCGAAGTGGAATTACTTTATATTTCTACCTGGTTACAGGAAATATTACTTCATTACAAATACCTTTTATTTATTTCTGCCAACAAAGTTGTGCTCGGTTATTCATTTTGCATTATGAATTCTATGTTACCACTTTGGAAGTTATATGTTCTATCAGTACATTTACACAGGCTTCAGGTAGTGGTACTCCATGGGAAGATTTATGGCTTTACTTCGCTGAGAGATTGATTATTCAATGAGCTGACCTTGAATTTAGGGGCCCATACATTTTGACATACAGTCCGCCAACTTTGGAAAGATAAGACGTTATGCTGTTATTGTTTTTGAATAATTATATCTTTAATATTATTATCTGTAGTTATTTGGGTTCCATAACATAAATTTTGTTAGAATTGTCAATACACGTATTCAACTTGAGGTTAGCAATTAGTCTTAGCTGTATCTTTTCTCCTATAATATTCGCTTAGGCTAACCATGGTCTTTGTTATTTTAGGATTACCTGTAATTTATCTTACTAGTATATCAATCATTAGTTTAACTATATTGTTTTTCTTCCATACATATGCTATTGTTACTACTCACTTGGGGGATGATAAATCTGAGGAAAGATTATCTGATAAAGTTGACAGGTGTCCTCTCGTATGGAAGAATAAACAAGTTAGAGGAGTTGATGAACCCAACCGGTCAAAGAGGAAAGTGACAAGTCCTGAGAAGGAGAAAAACCAATGGAAAGAAAAGGTGATGGTGAATGCTCTATTTGAAAGCAGTACAAGCTAGGTAAAACTGAATTGCCTCAACAGGACGTAGATGATGATAGGAGTGGGAAAGATTGTATAGAACAGAAATGGAAGAGAGAGTAATTGGAGAAAATATCCAATCATCCTTCTGGGCAGCCCAAGTCTTGGAGAGAATTGAGCAGCCTAAGAACAAAATTTGATTTTGTGTGTGCAAAAGCTTTGCAATGTTTACTGATAATCTGCAAAATTTTGTGAAGATACACATACATTTTAAAAAGTTACAGTATACAACTGATTTATGGTTATTTTGGTGGATACGGGCTGAGTGGAATCCATCCAGACCATAGTCAAAGAGTTAATACATGTATGTGTGGGAACTATTTATGGTTTGTAGCATGCACAAAAATGTTCACAGCAGTGGCAGAAGATAATAGATTTTTGTTGTGTGTAGGTGAGTGTTTCTGAAGCCTTATTACTGCATTCTTCTGAAAACAAAATTAGAAATACCATATATGAGATCTAATTCTTTCATCTGAGTCATGATTAGAACAGCCCACACTTCATTTTTGTTTTCTTTAGAAAAACAAAATCTCACTGTTCATACTGATCTTACATATGTAAACATTTCACCATTTAAAACTACAGCCAAGCAAAAAGTAAATGAAAGAAGAACTAATGCAACATTTAAAGTTGTCTGCTAAACAATCTGTTAATCCACTTTACAACATCCTGTAGATTTTTCTCATCTAAAAATTTTTGAGTTGTGTAAAAACAAGACAAATATTAGAGTAATTAAGTGCATTATATACCTCTGCTCGTAATTCTGGAGGAAAATTAGGATTTTCACTAAAATCTCCTGGAACTGCTATATCTGATACACAGCCAATGCTATCTCTGAGTTGAATAAGTTTCTGTCGTCCTAGTACTGCTACCTCCTGGTCCACCTGCATAGCAAACTATCACGTTACACTATTGTATAAAATCTTATATTTTTGTTTTACATTATCATCATTAGTTAGAACATATTGACAGATTTATATGTAATGTTGAAACTTGAATCTTACAAGCAAACACGAGTTTACTAGACTTGACTCACGTTAGATATCACCTAGAGAAAATACACTCATTGTTTCTACATAATACATAAATAAAATATGCGGAAATGAATAACAAATATATTTATAATTTTTGTTTTTCAAAGGAAAAATATTTAAAGTTTTACTTCAGGACTAAGTATGCATCTACATGAAAAACTATAACAATTTTTATAATCTCATCCTTTTCAACAATTATCTTTAAATTAGGTCTACATGACATCCATAAAACATTACATCCATAAAACTGTTATAGCTGGACCTGAAATTATGCAAACTTCAAGTGATTATCCAACAAGTTGGGTAAGTTTAAAAAGGCTAATCATCCCAGGAAAACCTTTTTCTTTTCTTTTTTTTTTTGTAAAGCATGTTTGGTTAAAAACAATATAGCTAGAAGTGTGAACCAACAGATTTTAATGTTTTTAAGAAAAAATCTAAAAAATAAGTTTTGAAAACAATAGCCACAAGTGCAATAATTTCACAGGAGGAACACTATATGAAATACTGCTTGTTTATGTTGTTGTAAAGCTAAAGCTACACGGGAATCAGAATCCAATTTCTAGCAATAAAAGTCCAGATACTGCTGAGCCACTGGGGAATGAAATGCTGCAAGGATAGGAAGGGGGAAGTATAGCTTTGATAACCTTCTGTTAAGGCTTAGGTTGTAGATAATGTATCACACTTAAGATTCAAGTATATTATGTAATTTTTCATGTCTAAAAGTAATTATACTCAATGTTATTAGATTCAGAAACATAAACATAAGAATATACATAACCAAAGTGAATGGTTCAACCTACTAAAACAAACTTACAATAGACATTAACATTTTCCTACACTGAAAATGTACTTCTTATAAATTCTTACATCTGCTCACAGAATAGCTTTTCCCGACTTGTAATGCCCTCTATATACACAAATTTTCACTTGCCACTACACTTGATACTCCAACCTACCCTCATGTGTTTTCATGTGAGGCAGCTGTGTTATAGCATGCAAATAAACATTCAACAACCTTCCACTAATAACAGTGCGACACAACTCCTAGTACAGTTGACTCCCACTATGCAGCTTAGTCCAACTTCATTTTGAGATTGAGCAGCAGAAAAGGAAAAGACAAGGCAGTGGGAAGGAAGTGTGGAAAGTGGGAGAGATAGTAAGAATCTATCAGAAATACATTTTCAGTGTAGGAAAATGTTAACTTCTGATACAATATCAGATACAATATGTAAAAAAATTAGAGCTTAAAAATTAAGTACAGATATGGGTTCTCAACCCAAAATCAGGGTCATACCAACTTTACATTTTGCCTTATGCAAGACACATGAGATATAAATTCTGCACCCCTCCTAAAAAAAAATCGAATTTATCCTTGTCTCAAAAGATGCAAACTTGCACCCCCTATGGTTTGATGCTGTGTGTGGGTGCACTGCTCGCACTATCCTTAGTACAGCCCTGCCCAAAATATCCCACATTTAAAACAGCTATTCATTGTCTGCAAGTAAATATAAAGCTTACAATAAGTTAATGTGACAAATGATGTATCTTCACAACTATACGGGTCCCAGCAGATTTAGTAACTACCTCTCTTACTTGTGTACAGTTTATCACTGCCACATTTTAGTTTATACAATATCTTGTTTCATGTGTGATACTTTTTGTTTTTGGTCTATTGTCTAGAATAAAAAAAAACATCTAAGGTAAAGAAATGATTTTGAATTGCACCATCTTTCCTTCAGAAGTTAAAAGTTAACACAAATGTTATTTTTATAAATATATTTCAATAACTGTGTTGTGGTATCAATATTTTGCCTTATTTCTTCAATATTGATTATCTTATTATCAGTTATTTGTTCCAGGCTATTTAATCCTATAAAAGACACAAGATACTGTGTTATAAATACCATCTTGTGTAAACTATCAATTAGCTTATAGTTAGTTAACTGTAATTTAATTACCTTGCTAAAAATGAAATACCTTGTAATAACAAATGATACATATTCCCTTCATGTCCAACTTTAAATTCAGAAAACCTATTAACTGTGACACTCATTTTTTATATTCTGATGAATGTTATTTACACTATGTAGGTCAAACTTTCAATATTTTTTTATATCAAGAAATAATTCCACAGGTTAAAAAGTAAGAATAATGCTATGAATTATATATATAAATGGAACATTTCTCTACTCATCCACTTCAAAAAAAGTTCTACAATAACATTAGAAATTGTAGATACTGATTGACTTTATTGTGAGAATAATCCAGTTTGAAAATTAAGTGCACATACATCTGAATTATTGAGGTATGCAGGCATATCATGCATTTTCTACTTTCATATTTTAGTGAAGAAGTTTTTCACAGTTATATGTTTCTTCTAAGTATGTGCAGCAGTTTCATACAACATTTGGTCCAAGAAAGTCATTCAGTTGATTTTCCAGCTACTTTTTTCTTTGTCATTCACACCTGATCTGTCCATGGAAGGTATATATATATATATATATGGCTGTAAAGCTGCATCTTATGCATGAAAGTTGACAGCAACATCCTTCAATAATAGGTCGGGTGATATATCAAGGTTACAACCTTCCTTATGATTGAATGGAAATGACTAGTCACATGGGTAGCACTAGCCATGTGACTAGTCTCAAGGAAGTAAAATCAGCATGATCAATTCACAACTTCAGTGAAGGCAACTGTCCAGCTTCCAATACAAGTACACATAATGTGTATAAATAAAAATTGTTTTCATTTTGTATCACGCTTTGTGTCTAGTCCATTTATTTCTTAGTACTGGCTCAGTTCTCTAAGAATTCAGTATTACTTTGCAATTATATAGAGAACCTACCTAATTTACTATTTCAAGAAATCAGTTTAGCTGAAAATAGCACAGCTCCTTTCCTTTTGACTATCTATTATTCTGGGTCATTCTCCTATCATGTCATGTAGACTTTCTTGGCATGCAGTCAAGACATGCTAGTCATGCTCTGCATGACAAATCAGAAAACCAAAAATGTGGCAATAATACTATAAAATAAAATGTATCTTCTTATATTTAATTTTTTTTTATTGTGCTTACTTTTTTTGTGCTGCACAGTATTCTAATCCTCAAGCAATGTGAGCTCTGCAAACCTAGCCTGGCATTTCCAACAGTATCCTGTTTTCTGGAGCTCATAAAAGTAATATAACTCAAGCCATACAATGCTAAGATAGCATGACAGCTAGTGCATATGTAGAAGTTCAACAACAACAATATTGAAATCACACACTTTTGCGTGATTCTGTGTTGTTTTTTTATTGGTGCAGTTGCATACACACAACCATAGTACAGGGTGAGTAAACCTATTCCATATTTATATTTTGTTTTTATCTTGAGGATAAGACATTTACTTTTCTACTGGAATGACTACCAGTATCACAGGTGACACGTGTACTGAGATGGATGGCATTATATATCCTTGTATATAATTGCAGACTGGAACAAGATACATCTATCAACAGATATACAGATCTAGGCAGATCTATGGCTAAACTTCTCCAGTAAATTTTGTCTTCTGTTCAGTTCTGGCTTCTTTGCTTGTGTTCTATAACTCTACAAACATAGCCTTGGTAATTTTGATCAACATTGTAACCATAAAATTATAAGTATTAAGTGTAACTTAACAAAATTTGACAAACTTTTATTAAGCACTACAAGTCTGTTGTACACACAAAAAAACAAATTTTTTAATAATGTATTTTTACTACAGCTTTGTCTGTGAATTCACAAAGCCTTTACTGAGGCAGTATGAATGAAAGAAGATTTTTATGCTAAGAATAAAAACACTTCTTTTTATCTTAGTTTTTAATTTTCACTTGCATAACTTCTAGTACCTCCATTGAATATAATATTTGTTCAGTAAATAATTATACTTTATCTTTTATTTTCTCTACTCTAACACTACATTCAGCAAAATCATATGTATTGTAGCTGAAAAATATGAAATAAAATCAAAAATACCTTCTGTTTTACTAGAATGACTGCAGATTGTAACAAAAAATTAAAATTATTTATCTTATAAGCTTCAGACTTCTTAACTTTTCCCTGCTTTCATTTAACTTTAGTGTTTTATTGCTCTTTGAACCATGTCCAACTACCATGACAAGCATGTAAATCATTGGGTGTGATAATGGAGTAAACAAATGGATCAGATTACATCATACAAGTCTAACTGCATATGTTCTTCATGTACTACTCATGAAGTGATGAAAAAAAAAATTCTTATTTAACTGAATATGGTTTTAATTTTTACCTCAGCTCTATGCCAGTTTACATTCAATTGGCCATTTTTGTAAGCAGCAATATTATTTTTTTAAATATGTTGGTTGACCAAAATATAATTTATGTAGCTTTCAAATATGAATTTTAGAAAACAAAAACATATCACTCAATAGATTAGATTGTATAAAAACTATTGTAATTTATTTGGATTTCAAACTAATTTATAAATAGGTTAAAAGATTTTATTATTTTTCACAGCAACATCCTTGGGTCCAATCATATTGGGCTCTGACATCAAATTATTGACTTTCACCACTCAAAAAAACAGATGATTTTGTAACTTATGGAGTACACAATTTACTTTTTCTATTAGTTATAAACATATCTAATAGCAATATCAAGAGAGAATTACAGAAATTTATTAAAATGCAGAAGGCATGGTAGGGGTGTGACAATATGGGATAACAAATATAATATTTCAGTAAACCAAGAAGATAAGATGTTGATTATTTATATTCTAGCTTGTCAGTATATACAGTCTGAAGCAGTTGTAAGGGAACAGAAAAATCTATAAATGAGAATCACAGCT